TGGGGCGGGGAGGAGCCGAGGACACCGGGCGGGGCCCCGCCTCTTCTCGCGAGACTGTAGACCACCGCTCCTAGATCGCCTCTTTGGAAACCCTAGCGGCGCGGGTGGGGTTCCCCCTCCCGCCCCAAGCAAACTCAAACCCGTGATCCGTGCCCTCCTCCCGGTCCTGCTACTCAAAGCCGTAACAGAGCTGCTAGGAGGAGTGAGTAGGCTTAAACGTCAGTTCCTTAGCGCGTGGGCTTGGGGATTCTCCGAAGGGCGAAAGGAGCCGACTCAGGGCCCATTCGAGGGTGGAAACCCAGTGAGGACCACGGTAAGTGGGGAGGACCTTAGGCTTTCAAAGTCATTGAGAGCGAAAGGCAAGAGTGAGGGAAGGGGAGAAGAGCATCTGCGGAGTAAGAGACAAACTTCCAGGTACTTGACGGCACTTTCCTTGACACCCTTATTGACCAGGAGCCAGCCGCATTACTGCTTCCCAAACAGATTGCGCTGAGATCTCAAAGCGACCGACCGACAATACTTGAATGCTGACAGTTTTTTGTTGTGGTCGTTAACACTTAGAGGCAAATAGAAGACTGTGGAGATAGGAGAGTGGCTTGTGCATGCGTCCTGGCCAGAGAAACTTCTTGGGCTGGGTTAATATTAACTTAGGGACTCAAACAGGACACCAGTTCCCTTGGGCAAAGTACTGGTACTGGCCAATGCCCTTCCCTCTCACCCTCTCCTGAGAAGTGGAGCTACTGTAAAGACAATTCATCTACACTCTTCGATGCCAACACGTACTCAGTTCCCACCTTGAAGGCTTTGAGGGCCTGTTGTAAAGCCCTCAAAGTTGTTGGGAAGCATTTTGCCTAGAGAAGATCTTGACGATTTTAAGGATAAATCCATTTGCTGCTCTTAACTAATTCTGATGACAAATCTGCATTTCATGATAGAATAGGCTAGAGCTGTGATACTGACCTTTAAAAAATATTTTGATCATCACATGAGGTCTTATAGAGTCACATCAACAAAATCCCATCGTGCATCTTTAGCCATGTTGACTTATGACATTGTGTGGTCACTGTTAGGATAGGTGACATAATAAACTGGAAGAACCATTGTTCAGTCCCAAAGGTGTGATTATCCAGTATTTATGTCTTTTGGCCATGTTAGAAGAGCAGAACAGTGTGATTGTTAGCTTAAATCCAGTAGGCATCCAGGATGTGCATGCAGCTTCTGACAGATTAGACTACATAGCCAAAATCTGGACATGTTTAGAGAATCTTGTGTTTTATGTAAAAACACTCCTAAGGTAAAAAAGAATACTGTGGCTTTTAAGATCTAAAGGTGTTCCTATAATAGCTATGTCAATTAATGTACCTACTTTATACCTTTTAAACTTTCCTTAGATTATGGTTAGTAAAGGATATTGAAAATGACAAGCTAAATATATAGGTGCTAATTATAATAATTTTCGTTATTGAGTACACAGTACTAGCAAAGAACAAAGTATTCATTCACCCTGAGGATTGAAATCTAAGTTAGAAAAGGCAGATATAAACATAAACAATGATAAAACCCAGACATAAAACATAATAAAATGAGGAACCACACAATCTTTCCATCTGGGATTACCTGATTTGGATTTGTCTTTTAGGTCCGCTGAGCACACTGCATAGTATCTTTGGACAACGTTGCACATACTATAGGCATTCAATAAATATAAGGCTAAAAAGGTGGATAATTTGCTAGATAAGTTGCTATTTCTCAAGTCTAACCACATTATTTTGTGGAAGTAAAATCAACAGCAGACTATATTTAAATTACCATAGTTGTCCAAATCTACAAATTGGGTTTTCTTTTTCATGAGCTAACAGTGGGAAGTTCTGTTGTATCTGTCAAAAATAGAGACACATTTTCCCCATTTACATTTTTTTAGAGGGGAAAAAAAATGTCCACAAGTTAAAATGTAAGCCCCTTGAAGGCAGGGACTTTGTCTTATTTTCATTGTTTCCCTAGCACTTATACCTGGTACATTAGAACCCAATAAATCTTTGCTGAGTGGTCTCTTCCTTTCTTCTGTAAAGTAGAATCAAGTCAGAATGGTCTTTTTTTACTAATTTTTGTTTTTATGAATGCTATTTCATTAGCTTTCTCTTACATGAATATCATAATTAGATGTAGAATGGTACACTTTGTTCTTAAGTTATGATTCAATATCTGTAACTGAGACATAAACTTACTGATATTTATGAACTAGCAAAGGATGAAGGAGCAGTAACTGACAAGCAGCAGCAGTTAGACCACATGCTCATTAAGTCACCAAAAACTTACTTTAAATTACGTTTTTTTAGACAAGAGAATATGGTTAGAGCCTCTCAGCCCTCTGAATGCTTTGAAAAGGTAAGTCGTGGAGTATAAGCACTGTGACGTAGAGGATAACCAATCACCTTTTTTAGTCATGCTTAATTTACATACTATAATCTTACTTCAAGTATTCCTTTTTCATTGAAAATCAAATTAATCTGATTTTTGTTTTTACAGCTATGTAACTATCCAACATATTGAGGGGAAAATTCCTTTCAGTAATAGATTACCTCCAAATATAATTGATTGTAGTTAGCAAATATAAAATGCCACATAAATACTAATTTAGCCATCGTCAATATAAAACTGAAGTAAACTAGTATGATAGTCATATCTAACAAATTAGGGAATAAAATTAATTTTGAACTACTTTAGAGACAACAGCCAATCTAGAATTTAATGTTGAGAAAGTTTCACCTACATACAAATAATCCAGATTGCTTATCAAATATAAAATTAACTTATACATCTGACCCCTGCCTGTTGCCACAATAATCAGATTTTTACTTGAAAATAGAATGGAATATAGAAAGGCAAATTTTAATTGATTTTGTTTTCATCCACTTTAAATATACAGGGAATAGAATTGAAAACTAAGAATTTTGTTTTTTAAATCTTAGATTTTGAACAGGTTCAAAGGTCTATGTAAGTTTTTAAGTGACTCAAGTGCTCAGTAGGCTATTAAACCTTAATACAGCCATAGTTTTATTAAGTTAGATTAGGTACCTGATGACATTCTCACTGGTTCTTTCCCCTTAACATGGTAGATGAGGCATGCTCTATATGGCCCCTGTCTGCCTCTCCAGCTCATTACCCATGGTCTCCCTTTTTCTGAGCTCTCACCTTTCAATTCTACCATGTGCTAGGTTCCCTCCCAACTCAGGATCTTTACTGAGGAATTCATCCTTCCTAGACTGCTGACTGCTATTTTCCCCCTCCCTTACCAGCACCTACCCCTTACTACCTAGACACAAACACTCATCCTATCCACTAGCTGTGGCTCAGAAAATACTATCTGTGGGGAGAACTTTCTTGATTGCTAGGTCAGTTCTTGATTTGACACTCTTGGCAACCTATACTTCATGACTTAACACAGTTTATAACAGTTGTTTAATGTGCTTCTCCCACTAGATTGCAAATTCCAAGATATCAGGAAAATTTTGCTTATCCCTAGCACAGAGTAGGCTAAAATAAATTAGTCCCAGGGCAAAGCTATTGTCTCATAATTATTAAGCGTGTTAACTACAACATATAATTCAGTCTATTCTTTGGAGCAATTAACTGTTTTGACTTCATAGTGTATAAGTATTTGATTTTAAACACTTGCTTTCTCATATTTAGGCTTTTTTTGAAAGATTAAAATTGAGCAGTAAAGAAGTATTGATAGTTCCACAATTCAGAGATTTTTTTCTGTAAATATTATAAAATATATACAACAAAAAATATAAGATGGTATAAGGTGGAAAGTAAAAACCCTCCTCCCCACGCTCCCGTATTCCAGTGTCACAACTGTAAACACAAGTTTCTTTAGAACATTGAAATTCAATAAATATTCTAACACGTAACAAGGCTTTGTTTCTTCTGTATTGGTTTGTTTTACATAGTGCTGTTATAGAGGATTGAAACTCTTAATTTTACAATAAAATGTAGTTAACACTAGATTGCCCATTTTCTTCATTTAATATTCTTCATTAGCGCTGCTCAAACCAGATACATCCTAACCTTTTTGGTCACCAAAATTTTATAGTCCTATCTTGCAAGTGTAACAAATACATAATTAAACAGTTGGTAAACATATGGAGATTGAGCACAAATAAGGCCCACAACGTACTGCTGTGTAGTGTATCTACCAAGAGGTTGATCAGGCCAGTTGTTATATTTGACATCAAGAAAAAAGTCAACTGGTTTCTGTTCATAGCTGTGATTAAACAAATACTGGGTTTGTTTCTTTCAGCTTCAGAGACTAGAGATTCTGAATGCTTTTTGTTTGTAGCAGGCGACTGGATCAGTTTCCAAGAACATGGAACTAGAGCGCCTTGAATTAGAAATTTTGCAAAACTCAAAATTATATCACCCAATAATAAACTACTAAGAAGGAGCAGGCTAGAAGCAACTATCCAAATACAAAAGGCTAAATTGGCCATTCTTCGAGATGCTACTTCTACATTTACCTGAACTATGTAAAGAGATACAAAGAGGCTAATAGCTGTCAATAGAATACCATATGTTACTTTTATCCAGTCTTTGATATATGATCTTTTTTTAAGCACATATAACCCTGTTTGTACACCAGCCATGTATATTGCTACATACCCCAAAGTAGAGATTATGCCTTCTCGGTTGGCGTTTAATAAACCAACCCTTGTGCCACTGCCATCAGTGCCATATAAAATTAACCTTTTCAGTGGGGTAAAGTCAAGGGCTAGCTGGTATAATACAGTAGTGCCGACAGCCACAATCCAGGATTTATTTAGGGGTAAAAAAATCAAAAGCAGTGATGTTATCAATTTTACAACTATTAAGGTAAAGAAAAAGTTCCAGTGAACTCCATACTCAGTTAAATGTTCCTGATAGCCTATGGATTTTATAATGATTAATCGTCCTATTCCAAGGAAGACTAATGGCCAAACAGAGTACAATGACTTTGTAAAATAATAAAATCTTGAACCTTCCATACATTTTCTCCTAATTTCTGGACAAACCATTGCAGTCCCAAATACAAAGCCGCCTACTCCAAAATCCATTGCCCCTGTCCCATAGAGCTCAGTTTTGGCAAATCTTCTAGGAAAAAGTGGGAAGTCCACAGCCAAAATGGCAACAGCAGTAAATGCACTGTTAATTACACGGAAACAGGAGATGGCTGGAATGTATTCTGATTCTAAACTAGTTTTTAAGAATTTTTCAAGGATTTTCTGGACAGGCATTCTGGCATAGCAAGTTCTCCTGCAGTATATTTGATAGAATAGCCCAGCCCCAAAGATAATTACAGCGAGGTACTCAAAGAAGATAAATGAAGCCAAAATGGTCAAAGTGGTCACCACAGGAACTATTAGGAAAACAAAGTCAATGAAGAATCCAGTTCTCCAGGTATGTGAAGAAGAACACAAGTGCTGTGAGAGAATGATCAGGAGCCCTCTGCACAGGATACAGAGTGAGGGAAAGCACAAGCCTTGGGTAATTTCCAGCACGCTGGTTCCATTGTGGTTACTGACAAAAGCTTCCTTCATCAGCTTGTGAGACATTTTTTTTTCCTTCCTGTGAAAACAAGAGTAAAGGAATGCATTTGTGGAAAGCAACATTCTTGTGGAATTGGCATATATATGCACCTGATTTGATTTTACTCTTATTCTTTGGTTTCAGATCAGAACCTAGGATTTGTGATCCCCCTTGCAAGGATTGTGGGAAGAAGTCTAAATATTAGGATAAGAATGTCACACTAATAATTTTTGGTTAAAAAGCTTAAGCTATTTTCAGTATAAGGCAGATTCACAAAGAAAGTGCACTTGGCCTATATAACCCTGAGAATGGAATCACAGTTGGATAGAAATTCCTATTATAGAATATAGTATATGTCAAGAAGATTGTGTAATGAAAATTGAATACACATAACTAATAACTTTAAGTCAAATAGGGGGGCAGGGACAGAGAGGTATTTGAGTATATGTTGGAGTTGAGGGCTTTGGTTTCTGTTCAGCCTCTCTGAACCTATTGTTTCTAGTACAAAATTTGGGTCCTCCAGTGATCTGAACCCCAGGCTGCTCCTTATATTTACAGACAGCCAAGTTTCATGTTCGGTGTCGGAAGGTAGTGTGGATGCTAATCATGGCAGTGAGGGGTGGGGGTGGCGTAGAGCACATACTAGTGTTAGTTTTAAAAGGATATAAAACGCCTCTTTGCCACACTAATGTCTGAGAAGTGGCACACGGCAAGAACACAATTGTTGGCTAAACAAGAACCATGTGGAATAAATGCGTGCATGCATGATGGCCTGTCTGGGCCCAGCGACAATACCTCACGGTAACAAACCAATCAGAATTGGCTGGCCTTTAAGAATAAGTACTTTACCACGGGCGCGCCGGGACCACACACCTCCCGTGCTCAGCCTGGTTCCGGTACCGCCCCGGCCGGCTCACGGCTGTCTACGTTGGCCTGGCCGCCGGGCTCCCACCGCACGCGCGGGGCAACACGGGAGCAAGCAGCTTCCGCCTCCCGCGCGGCGCTTCCGGCCGAAGCGAGAAGGCCGGAGGTTCCGGGCCCGCGGATTCCGCGCGCCGGGGGCCCAGGGTGGTGTCCGTTTCCCACGCCCCGCCGGCTGCCCACGCCTTCTCAATCAAGGGCTAGCCCAGCCCAAGTCCTCCCGGGTTGTGGTCATGGGCTGGCCTGGCAGAGGGGCCCGGAGCGGGAAAGGTGCTTCGCGCGCCTCACGACTGCTCAGACCCCAAGGCGAGGCCTGTCAGAATGGCGGGGCTAGAAGCCCCGCACAACATTCGGCCACAGCCCACTGAAGGCCCGTAGGCCCAGGAAGCCATGCTTCCCCCGCCTCTCGCGCCAGAACACCGGAGGCCTCCCTTTCACCCCATCTTACCCCAAGCTCTCAAAATATTTTGCCCCAGGTGGAGCCAGCCCCAAACCCGACCCCCGCGTTCTGGGCTGGCCACGTGCGCCCAGCGCCGCTTCTGCGCGCCCCGCCCCCGGGAGGAGCCGGCCGGCGGCGGGCCACTTAGCCGGGGAGGCGGAGGCCGGGCGTGTGCCAGCTGTCCTGGCTTTCTCTCCCCGGCTCGCTCGCGCTCCTCCTCTTCTCTCCCCCGGCTCCTCCCGCCGCTTCATCCGGCCCTCCCGCCTTTCCAGTCGGGCCGGGCGGGGTGTGCACACTCGGCGGCTTTGGCTCTGGGACTGGTGAGTGCCGCCCCCAGCCCCAAGTCTGAAGCCTTTCGCGACCCAGAAGGGGCAAGAGAGGACTCTGCCCCCAGAGCGCTGAGGAAGAAGGGAGCATCTCCCCCTCTCCTTTCTAAAGCGCCTTTCCCCTGCCCTTTCCCTTTTCTTTTTTGACTCCCTCGCATCCCAGGAGGAGGTAGCCGAGCTCCTGGCCCTTGCTCAGAACGAGGACCTTTCATGATCACCCTCCACTACTCTACCTTGCCAGCAGGAGGCAGCCCGAGGTGGGGAAAGGTCCCGACTAGCTAGGTCGCGGCTCGTACTCCTCTCCTGGCCCTACCTAGGGACAGGGAAGGGGGCAGCTGTCCCCGAGAGACGTCAGGGCAGCAGTGCCCTTGGCCGGGGTCACATCCACCTTCCCGCGAAGGACGTACTCTCCCCGTGCCAGGTGCTTCAGGAGCGGCATCCCAGCCCTGGGGCACCTCGCCAGGACCTGGAGTCTCGGTTTCCAGCCGGAAACCTTGGGGT